CTCCGACGCGGCCAGTGAAAGCGTGTTTTCACATCTTTGATGGCGAGACCGTTTACCCATCAAGGCATCTGGTGTTCACTTGAAACCGCCGCCAGAGGTTGCAGAGACACTGGCCCACAAGGAAATGACGGGATAGTCTCAAGGCTGGGGAGATTGCCTAGATGGTGCTCATAAGACCAGAGGCCACTCCGGAGGTGTTGAACAAGCATCGTCATGCGCGCTTGCGTTTTAAATTTCTGAAGAGTCTTAAAGATCCGGTATATCCTTGGTGACGGAGTGTGCGGACGTGGTGAACAAACACCCACCGACCCTGCTCCCACCGGATCGAGGCGTACGGCATGCAATCGATGTCGTGCCTGGCACAGCGAACTGTGTGACGAGACAATGGCCTCTTTCCCGCGAGCAGTGCGAGGTCATCGATGCTTTATTCGCTGCGAAAGCGAAGGCAGGCATGGTGCGGAAGTCGAAGTCCCCGCCCTCGACGCGAACTTTACGCGTTCGGAAACCGAACGGAAAGTGGCGTCTAGCGCATGCTTATTTCAAACTGAACAACGCGACGGTGCCAGCCCGAGCACCAATCCCACGAAAGGATGAGTTGTTGAACAACATGAATGGATGCGTACTGTGGAGTGCGCTGGATTTAGTAGACGGATACTACCAAATCATGATGCGAGAGAGCGACGTTCCGCTCACCGTGGCAATCACTCCAAGTGGGTTAGGGAGTTACTCGTGATGCCGCTGGGCTTGTCTAATGGTCGGTGACATGCAACCGCCTGGTGGCGCAGCAGCTCAGACCATTGCGTGTATTTGTACGAACAAACGTCAACGCCATCTTCGCCGATTGCCGTGACGAGAGAGACAAGACGGTCATGAAGGTGCATTTGGGACCTCCAGCGAGTGCGTCTTTGCGTCACCAGAGATTAGGTTCTCGGTTATTTCGTCAGCAACGTTGGCGTCCGAGCCGACCCAGACAAGGCCAATGCTATTGCAGTATGGTCGACGCCCCGATTCCAGAGTGATCTACTAAAGTTGTTGATATAATGGGCCTACGTTAAGCCTACTACTACTACTTACACGTTAGCGCACGCATACGAGAAAGAGTAAGTTCCGTTTCACTTTGATTACCTAAAATGTCTTTCGAGAGTATAGATTTACTTAAATAGGAAGGCAAAGCTAATTTCCATTAAAAATGAGAACTGTTTATTTGTTTGGGGTTTCCTCCTAATCGAATATTCTAAATGAACGGTATTTATCAACGAAGGGTTGACAGAATCCTATTATTCTAATAAATTGAAGATACTGACTTTCAACCAATGAATGCCTTGAATGAATGCAGACCAACAGTCTATCAAATATATACAGTGGTGTATATCGCACCAATGTGGAAACCCTCTTTCGTAACCAAATGGCTATGTGTAGCCACTTGCGTGTAACCCCCCCCCCCCTCGTTAAGCTAAGACTCTCTAGTTTGAAAACAAATTTCAAGAATTGACGAGGCCGTCAAAACGTTTGAGAAACCAGAGTTCATTTCGCAATGAGCTCACCCAGGAAGATGCCCGCGCAAATGTCTACTCCGGCAGACTTTGTTACGTCCGTGTTTGCACCTGCATGCACCACCCTTTTAGTGACCGCGCAAGCGAACACGTCCGCGACAGAAAACAAACGTTTTGTCACTCGATATGTATGCGCACCAATTACGTCAGTCGTCCCGGAGGATTCGTCAGCTATATCTACTGACGGAGACATACCCATTGACTACGGGTCTGACATTAAAGACGTCCCCATGGAGGACGAGGGCTCGTCGCCCTTAGCTGTCAACACAAAGTCGACCAAACCAACGCCCGATCCCCTCTTAGGTCGCGGCGAGCCCGTGACAATATTCCCGACGCTTCTAAATCGAAGTACCCCCTCAGTCAAGAAGGGGTGCAGTCAACTGTGCCGGTGCCGCGTACTACACCTGCAGTACGTGCTCCCGGGATGCCAACTGCATCCAAAATCGCTGAAAGGTTCGGCGTGGCATCGCCGCCGAACTCGGTTGGATTGTACGTGTGCAGCGCCATGAATGGCAACGCTGAGGCAGTCGACATGCACTTTGACCCGTTTACGGACCAAACGCGCGACTACTACATCAGACGCTCTGATGAGGGCCGATGGAATGTGTCGAAGAAAACTTCGCGCACTGTAGGACCGTGTCGTAGCTCTGAAACAATTCCAGAGTGGGGGGGGGTTGCTGCCCTGCAACAGGCGCTGCGCCTACAGAAGGCGCAGCTCGCCAATTACCTTTACAAAATCAACACAGGCTACGGCGGCCTTGTCGGGCTCCCTTCAAAAGGACGCCGACTGGCGCTGGGGCCATTCACGATGTTCTGCTGGAGCACAAGAATGTGCTTTCGGAATCGATTCCTACTGAGCTTCCGCAGGATAAGGGTATACAGCACGAGATCGACCTCGTACCGGGCACGAAGTACTGTGTGACCGGCAGTGGTCACTACCGCGTGATCAAGTAAAGCCAATCGACTACTTTTTTTAAGTCGGAAAGAATGTCAGGTGCGAGATTAATGTTCCCGCGCAGCGCACCAACGTTCTGGGTCAAGAAGTCACAGGGCGGATAGCGCATCGTGCATGCTTACAACAAGATGAACGATGCGACGATACTGGCGCAAACATCGATAGCACGAAAAAAAAAATATCATCGATTCGATGGCCAGGAGCACCATCTACAGTACCGTTGTTCTGCGCGACGGGTTCTATCATATCCTTATGCGTGAGGGACATCTTTCTCACGGCAGTGAGCACACCAAGCGGTATGCTTTGGGGGTGGCTCCCAATGCCGCATAGATTGAAGAGCTGTTCGTAGTGAAGGCTCCGCACATCGCTCAACGAATTGCGAGATGGTTGCCGTTCTTTGCGGAGTACGACTTCCAGGTTTATTACAAACCTGCAGCGTTGAGATGCGGTGGCCGACGCGTTGTTGCGTCGCCCTGATTACGCTATTAAGGCAGCCGACATCAATCGAATTGGCGTCGAACGAGTTAGTGTTCCGTCGTTGGCATTGATTGACGGCGTGAAGAACGCGTATGCGAGTCATGAAGACGCGAAATACCTGCTAGACTATGTCTTAGCACCCTCCGACGTGTCACGTCAGACGTTATCGCCACGTCTGCGAGCCCGTGCACACCGATATCGTGAGCACGAAGGCCTGCTGTTTTACAGCACCGTGGGCGACGATGCGATCCACATATTCGTGCCGGCTCCATCTGGCGGATCCGGAGTGGGAATCTCCCCAACGACTGTCAACAGTCATTGGAAAGGCAGCCGTGGCGACAATGCTACGTACGCTGGCGTCAGCAGATCAACACGGTGTTGCTCTGGGATTTATCGTGAGCGATCGGCGCAATACTGCTGAAGCTACGAAAGTGTCGTCCGGGACGATATCGCGCGTGCAGTCGTTGAAGTTGCACGTGAGCAATTACGTGGAGAAAAAGGGCGATCCTCTTCTCCGATGGCTTGTCAAACGCGACACTGCCATAGTAGCTCGCCATATCAGTGACAAACCATGGAAGATTGCGTTTGCCATGTCATGTCTTGGCGGACGGGCGAGGAGCTGGGCGTATGACCGCCGGCTCACAGATCAGTCGTGCTTTAGCGCGGATGCGATATTCAAGGAGTCGCCCAGACAAGCGTTTGAGCCGACCACCGTGACCAACCGGATCGACGAGGCGACAAAAGTCGTCACGCTCATGAAGGGCTTAAAGGAAGGGTCGTTAAGAGCTATCTCTTCCGAGGGTCTCCCAAGTACGCTCGAAGCTGCAATTGCTCGTGCGATATAAGAGGCGTTTAGCCTAAACCAGGCTAAGCTGCATGCGAACGTGCCGAGGATGGCACGTTTGATGATGAGAGCGAAAGGCCCAGAGCCTATGGACCTCTCGAACGCTTCCGTAGCTGGACGCCAACAGCGTATTGGGGGTGCTATCGATGTGAGAACACCGGGCACTTTGCGTGAGCGCACAACGCCTGTGCACTCGACCAGGGACCAACACGTAGAACCAGCATGCGCGGAGCGCCCTACTGCTATTGTAGTCGCCCGGGTGTACAACGGACACGAGACATTGAGTGCCGCGGGGCTGCCGTAGCTTTAGCGTCAGAGGAAGCCGTTCGACTCAAAGGAGCTTACTGTCCAAGACCAGGGCTCAAAGGTAATACCTTTACTTTTATGCTTTAAAACCAGAGGTGTTTTATTTATTATTATTGCGGCCAAGGCGCATAGAGGTACATGTATATGTTTAACTTTATAGCATAGTTAAACATAATCAAATGCATAACGTGTGGCTATCATCCAACGTACTGAGAGACCTTGTCAACTCTCCAAGTTATGTACTGAGAGTTTGTTAACTTTCCGTGTACTTCGTACCCCTGTGTGCTCCACACCACGTAACCCCGTTACACTCTCACCCACTAAGATGAGAACTTTCCGTTCTCGAAACTTCCCTCCGCGAGGTCACGTCTTGTTAAGACGGCGGAAGTTACTACACCTCACAACAGCGTTGTACAGCTCCGTGAGCTCACAAACGCCTACGCATCGTTGATGCCCAACTTCTGGTCGTCGGTCCACGGCCCAATGCTCCAAGCGCAGCGTGCATCTTGTTCTCAACCGGTCTCAGACCTACGCTCGCGCTCCGCGCCTACTCCAAGAGCTGCAAACCACTCAGATCTATGCTCGTGACGCATCCGAGTCATCGACAACAGCTCAGCGATTGAACACTCGCTTCACAAGCGATAGGTCGGTGGTTCGAGCCCACTAGGGCATAGCCCTCTCGTTCCATGAGCGATTGTCCACGCTTGGACAAGCTTCAGGGCGACACCCTTTTAGCTCAATGGTTGAGCATTGGTTTTTTTAGAGCCGCAGGTCGGTGGTTCGAACCCACCAGGACACATCTCTCTCGTTCCATGAACTGTTGTCCCTGAACTGCTGCCCACGCTTGGACAAGCTTAAGGGTAACACCCTTTTACCTCAGTGGTCGAACTTTGGGTTTGGAAGCCACTGGTCGGTGGTTTGATTCCGCCTTGGCGCAGCCCTCTCATACTATGAGTTGTCCGTACGCGGACAAACTTAAGAGCACCGCCCCTATATCTCAATCATCGAGCTCCGGCCTGGAAAACTAAAGGTCAATGGTTCGATCGCCGTCCGGGACACATCACTGTCGGTGTTACCGCGCATCCACATTTGGATCAAGCTAATCGCGGAAATTGTTTCAAAACAACTATGCGTCTATCGGGACGCTTATGCCTGACCCTTGTTCAGCCCCACACGAAGATTCTGCTCCCTTCGGGACCACGTCCCCAACACCACGAGGTCTTTCCACCTCCTGCTCCCGCTGCGAGCACCGCTCATACGTACGAGCTGGCTACTGCAGCCACTGGTTAGGACCGGAGCTCAGCTACTGACCTGTTCACGCTAGTGGGAGGCGCTTAGCGCCTGGTGACGCTGTCGCACGCCATGGTGGCGCTTCGGCACAAGATGTGCTCGGTCGTAAGCGTCCACGACGTCAGGGAAAACGTACCGGAGGATAGCCTTAAATTCCCATGCGTTCTGTGAGTGAAGGTAACCCCTCCACTTCACAAAGTACTGGGTACGACCCTGGCGTCTACGTCGCACCACAAGCGCGTGTAGCCTGTCGAGGCGTGCACGGCAATATTTAATGCGAACTCAACGGGTGGGAGCATCTGGCTCCAGCGTTGTGGCGCCTCAGCGCATACGCTTCGGGGGGATCCTCTACAACGCGATTCACGCGATCGGTTTGACCGTCGGTCTGCGGATGGTCCGCTGTCGACATGTCCAAACGAGTGCCGATCCCTCTGAAGAGGGACGTCCAGAACTTAGCGGTGAAAGCGCGGGTCTTGGTCCGAGATAATTGCCTCAGGCAAGGCCATGTTGACGAAAGGCTCGGTCTAAAAACGACAAAGCTGTGCCTTCACCATCAATGGTGTCCGGAACCGCCACAAAATGAACCATTTTGATCAATCGGTCTACAAAGACCACAATACCCGTGTTTCCCATCTTATCCTTGGGAAGGCCAAACCCAAAGGCTATACTCATGGACTCCAACTTATCTTGGGGACAGGCAAACTTGTCAACGGCGCTGCTGTGCTCGGCGCGGACTTCGTCAGTTGACACATCTTACACGTGCGTACATAGGTACCGACCCACTTATACATCTTGGGCCACCAGTACATCAAGCCCACCGAACCATAGGTCTTCTCCCGACCTAAGTACCCGCCAACGGGCGTATCCTGAACCTCATAGAGAATTCGATACTTTAGATCCTCATCATGAGGAATGACTACACGAGGGTTATCCTCAGAGTCGGTGCTGCGCGTAAGCGCCCAGACAATTCCTTGTCAGAGTCTTTAAGTACTTCGCTTCCAAAGGCTCGTAGAAGCGCTACACACATGCCGTCCTGTGAATACACTCTGCGTATCAAGTCAGGCAGTGACGACGTCACTGTCGTGATATGAGCTAACGCGTAGCCCGGCCTGCGCGAGAGCGCATCAGCCACTACATTAAGCCGCCCCGGCTCGTACTTCAGCTCGAAGTTGTATTCGGTAAAGAAGGAAAGCCATCTTGCCATTCTCGGATACATATGACGCGACTGCGTTCCAGTGCGTAGCGACGCATGATTAGTAAAGGTCACAAAAGGCCTAGAGCCTAGCAGATGTACCTTGAATCTGAATAGAGCATAATACTTCATTGCGAGTAGCACTTTGTCATGAACGGGATAGCGCTTCTCTGCAGATTTGAGCTGCTCAGACTCTAATTAAATCATGCACTTACGCCCATCGATGTCTGTTTGTAGTAAAGCACAACCGCTTGTAGAATTGGAGGCGTCACAGACAGCGCGAAAAGGATGAACCGGGTCCGGTAGCGCAAGAATCGGAGCCCGAAGGAAGCTCCCCTTTACAGCCTCAAAGGCGACTTCGTGCTCGACGTTCCAGCGCCATTGTGCATCCTTTTTGAGGAGATCTGTTAGTGGCTGAGCCATATCCTCGTAGCTCGCGATGCGCTTGTGCAAGTGGTTAGCTAAGCCTAGCCATTTTCGTAAGTCGTTTAATGCTTCAGAACTGGTCAGACTTGACTTTGGCAGGATCGGCCCGTAAGCCACGCTTCCCAATGCAGCACCACCGCTGTCAGCGGATTGTCGCTCGCTCTCATGAACAATTGGTAGTAAACATCGAACAAGCCGAGCGCGCTGTACAACATACAGCCTACCCTGTTGTTCTGCAGAACCTCCTTGCGAGGATTCGGCGTTTGTGCCGGGATAGTGGTGCATTTAGCTTATTAAAAGCATGAACAATACGCCACTTGCCGTTCGGCTTTCTGACACAGAACGTGGGTGTTGAGTGCGGTGCCTTACTCTCACGCACCACCCCTGCCTCGTGCTGCGCACGGAAGAATGGGCCAATAACGTCACACTGCTCTTTCGGCAAAGGTCATTGCCTTCTTACGCTGTATTTGGTTCTAAGAACCAGGTCAATCTCATGACACACGCCTCGATCTGAAAGCAGGCTCGTCAGTGGGTTTTCAAGACAACGTCTTCATACCTATACATCAGGGTAGAAGGGATCATAAGTATCTTTTAGGATCGCCGATCCCCTCTTGCGCACAGCGCCTTCTTGGTGTTATCTTGGACCGCGTCGTCCACGACGGAGGAGGCGCTCAACTCCTCCTCAGGTCCCAGCACGACCACCTCGTCTAGATCGCCTGCCTTTAAGACTTCGCTAAACTCGGCAATGGACATCTCGTCCAGCTTTAGCAGAGCATCTACAGCGAGCAGAGTGTCAAGGCTGATGTCGCCTTCGACCTCACCCTTCCCTCCGGTCACGAGTGTGTACAGCTGCTCACAGCAATCACGTGGAGCCCCACCACTCGTCACGTTGGACACCTCGTCCGACGTTGAAGACGTCACAGACGCCCTGTGTCTTCTTCTCCTCTCCCTCCGCGACCGAGCCCGGCCGGATTAGGGCCGTGTGGCAACATCCCCATCACCACCACTGGGTGCAGCTGCACCATCACTCCTCGAAGAGGATACAGTGTCTCGCAAGACACTCGGCTGAGAGCCAAGAGGTCCCTGACCCTCACACAGTTACCTAGGTGTCACTTCACCTGCATCTCCTGGGCCGCGCCCATGATGCCTCGACTCGCAGTCTACCGCGGACCTCGGGCCACGCAGCGGTAGGTCATCGACCAGATTCGTACCACTCAATGGATTACGCGCCACTCCGCGTTCGCCCTCACCAGGTCATAGCAGTTGGTAATTGATCTGACCTGCGCCGCTCTAACATGCCGCACCACGTACGCCCTCATGGCAAACAACAACCTCGTTGCTAACAATATCTGACATACCAATGTCCAGCACTACGGCCGTCTCAGCCACGTGCTCGCGCCAAAAGCGCTTCTGCTTCCTAGCGGAGGTGGGTTCATGACTCATTAAAGATCCACTAGGAGCAGGGTGCGACGCACCCAGCGTTTTCGACTTCAAGTCGATCCATGGCTCATGGCGTTCCAGCCATGCCATGCCAAGGATGAGGTCATACCTCCCATCCAGGTCTAAGACCAAACAGTTTTCAACGTTATCGAAGTTCTCAAACTTCACTCCAAGATCGACAGAGACCTTCGACACAGTTACCAGTGTCCCCGTCGCGAGACGGACAGTTATCGTATCTCTCGTTGGCACTTCCAGTGCCTCAGCATACAGCTGACTCTCTTCAGGGAGGAGCGACAGGCGGAGTTGCCCGAGGCGCTAGAGTCAATCAATACTCTCCATGGCTTTGCAAAGCCCTATACTATAGGTTGAACTACCAGCAGGCCGATGAGAGTTCTCTTGGACATAGTCCAATAACTCCTTCTTACCCTGCCAAGTAGCATGGGAATTCGAAAACTAGCCGAGCGCCGCCGCTACGCGGCGGTAGTGTTGGTTACATCCCACTTGGTAAGGTCTCCCCCCCCCTTCGACGGGCCTATTTTACCGGTACATGTACTAATAAATAAGCGTACACGGGTTCTTCATTTCCATTACATGTAGTCGGATCACAATATGGACTACCAAGCACGTTGTTTAACAGTCTCTACAATTAAACTCAGAGCAGGTCGTTTGTTAAAAGTAACTTGCAGCCATGTTGAATAAAAATATTTATTAAAAAACTGAGCTCCACGTAAGTTGCGCAATATTTCTTCAAAATTCTGAGTCTCCATCGTTTTGTTTGTGATACTATTAATGCAATACGGAGCTCCAAGTAGTTCGCGCAATATTTCTACAAAATACTGAGCGTCCACCATGTTGTTTGCAACACTATTACAAAATATTGTTTTTTTTCTGTTCAAATGTGATGATAAGCAGCTACGACTCAATTAAGTAACTTACTAAATATACATGTATTCTACTTTTTAATACCTATAATCAAACTTTATGTAAGATAATATTTCGCAAGTGTTGTTGCTGCTGTTAATTTGCTGTTGTTGAATTAGAAATCTATACTGTACTACGATCTTGTCGGCAACCCGCCCGCCCATAAAGATATGTATTTCTTCGCAACATATCGGTAAGAAATTATCTGCACAACGTTTTTTAACAAACCTTTTTTTAAATCCGAAAAATAAGACAATGCTTATCATAATTTACTGAGCGCCTTAAGTAACAAAAGAAAAAAAAGTGACATATTTGGAGCCAAAATAACAAAAGATAAGCTGTCATACGTAAATATTTTTGAACCAATGGATATACTTTACATTGTACCGATTTAGATGTCTAGCTTAACCTTCTTCGAGCGACAACGTCGCTGCATGCGGTAGCCGTGGCGGCGGTGGCGCTCGTACTCTGTGCAGGGTCGTGGTGGCGATGGAGGCGGTGTGTCCATAGCAACGGCCAGTGTGAGCATCCGCCGCTCGCGCTGGTCAGGCGTCGGTGATGCTGGGGATGCATCGAAGTGGTGCCAATAGGCCCGTGCGTTGGGCCCATTGGCCCACGCAATGTAGCGACGCCCCCCCCTCCCAGCTCTGGCGGAGCCAGCTGCAAAA